GTACACATAAATGCACAGCACTTTGGTATGTTGCAGCTAAAAATCCAAGGTTTTACAAATTGAACAATAGAACGTTAAGTTAAAGCCATGTTTAGAAGAAAATATCCAAACCGAGTTTTTTAGTATATACAGAGAATTTTAAATGAGTATTCTACTTCTGGAACTCCGAGGCAACATTGCATTGCTAAAAATATTTTCAATTGTTAGATTATGAGCAAATGTTAAAGTAGCAAAAAAACAACAATTTTTTCGAAAATTTGATCCATGTTCCGGTAGTGTATTGGAATAGCTAATGATTCTAAGGGGTAATTAAGGATCTTTACTTCTAATTATAACAGAATTTTATATTTAAAAAGTACTATTCTACAATCGGTACAGGTTAGTAGACTTGTAGTAATAACAAGCATTTTTCCCGTTGTAACTTAGTTTGAAGCTTCTTACTCACAGACTAAGAGATGCTTACTCTTTAAATGAGCTTTAAAACATAATTACACGATTGCACGGTCACGGAACTGCTCAAATTGACTTCGTAACCTCACTGCGCAATATTAATTTAATTAAAAGAAATGCACTTTCGCGGCAATATTTTGAAACTGCTCAGTTTTTCTGATTTATAGGCCGTCGTGCATTAGGAATTCTTCATGACGTTTCACGGGCACTAGTGGCCTGCATGTTCAAAGGTGGTTTGATCGAAAGCTTACTCATCAGTACATTCGTGCTTGCGATACGGCAGGAAGAAAGTATAATCCAAGATGACCTAAAAACCCAAAATGTTGATCAGTTTTATTAGCTTTTATTGTTTATATGATTTTTTGCATCCTACATTACTTTTTGATGCTACAAAACTTATCTAGTGAAAACTATGGAGATGTGACACTTCAACACTACTACTTGATATCGGTTGTGCAAAGTTCGATATCAGGAAAACGGTTTGTCTTTATCAAAGAGAAAACTGTGGATATGTGTTGTTGCTTATGAGTATCGCATTTCAAAATACATCAGCAATTAGATGATCAATTGCGGCCAACTCTTGTGTCATCAATAACTTTGAATTTTTCAGTTGCTACTGAACGAAGTGATGCTTCACTTCGCTTGTGATAAATAGAAAATAATCAACAACATATTTTGAACACATAACGTAAGTTATGTAACACATAGTTTGAAGTTGTCGTTGATTGGGATTATTCATAAAAAAATTATAAAGTCGGAGGTGCTTAAGTTTAAGGGTATCTGAATGTTTTATTTGTAAATTTTAGTTACCAAGGGCGGATCCAGGGGGGGGGG